TCACAGAATCATAGTTAGAATATTGAAGGTCATTGAGTCATTCAGAGTCGTCATTCAGGTTGAGAAGTTCTCCCCTTCCCAGTCTCAGCCCCAGCTGGGGATTTTCCTCCTGGCCAGTCTCCGCTGGACTTTATGCTGAATGGAGAAGTTGAAGACACAGGCGAGGTGATCGGCTTGGCCCGCATAGCAGACTATTGGCACACAACCATGATCATGGAGATGCTGGGCTATTTGGCCAGTAGGGGACAGTAGTTATATATTATATTAATGATATCGTCATATATAAATCACTTAAATATCCAGAATACATAATACAACTAGACGGCGCTATGTGGCACTATTAACATATCATTTCATATGTGTGGTTTCACACTGGCAGCCTGGCATGCCTGCAGCACAACCCCTTAGAGTCCTCCGGTTTGATTTCGGGTATTGTTAGTGTGATCTGGTCATGGTGTGATGATGATGTCCTAGTTGAATGAATGAATCAGTGTATAATGTGGTCGGTGTGGGCATGCCTTTCTTTTGCCAGTGTAGACTGTAGACATTATATAGACATAGACTATAGAGATTTGCTGCATACCGTTCTATTGAGGACAGCGCATTTCCAAGTACCTCAAACCCGAAAAAGGCTCTATATCGTGCTGATCAGAAAAGACATTTGTGGATATTCCACAGTTGCAGACATTGGAGAGGTTGCTGGCAAGGTGCTCTCTCAGGCCATGAGACTGTCCGCGCGCCGTCCCACAATTGGTGAGCTCATGTCACACAACCGGACCGTGCTGAACATGATGGATGCCACCCAGACAGAACCCCCACCATCCAAGGACCAGTGATTTCTGTGGCAGGGATTTTGCCAGAGCCTTCCAGTCACATGCGGTCAGTGACTAATCTTTGCGGGGTGTCCGGGAGTGTTCTTGTTCAATCCGGGACAAACAGATTTAAGTGGAAGCGGCTTCCAAAAAAGTCAGAAACTATTTGCAAATTTGACTTTGTAACCTTTCTGCCTGGCCCAGGGCCCTGGCTCATTGGCCCCAGTCATTGGCAGGACGGGAGGACCTCCAAGACGGCAAAGAACCTGGTGACTGCCTTCAAGAAGGAGCTTGGTGTTGCGCCGCACGGTTGTGTTCCGAGCTATTGCCAGACCAAGATCCAAGGGAAGCAGCAGCTACTCAACCAGAGAGAGCGTGATTGCTTGGATGTTCACTATGCCAGCCTCCTTGTAACTTGCCTTTTCTGCTCATTATGCCCGGCCTGGCCCATTACCATTACTGTCCCAGGGTTAGCTGTTGGCACAGGCTCTTCTGAAGGCTCCCTCCTCGCCTTTACCTTACCTTATCTTACTACTAGGACTGGACGACTCCACTACTTTACTTTGCTTAGCCTAGCCTAGACTTAACTGTAGTATTGCCTGTCCAGTCTCTGTATTTTACTTTAGATTCGATTGTTTAATTCATGATGTGATTCAAGACTGTGACTTATGAGTTAAGTTAAGTTTTAGTAAATATTAAATATAATATAGTATAATACAGTATAAACATATTATTATACTATGATGAATGATGTGTTTTTACTTTGTTTGGTCAGGTTGGACACGGCCTAGGGAGAAGCCGCTTCAAACCGCTTTGAACTACTGGCTAGCAAATGGCTCCAAGCCGATTGGAACCACTTACTAGGTAATAGTCCGGAACCGCTTCAAACCGTTTGGAACTACTGCCTAGTAAGTAGTCTCAAACCGCTTCAAACCGCTTGGATCTAGTTGTAAGCATGCAAAATTGGTTCCTCCCAAAAAATCTGAAGTAGTTTCAAGTAGTTTCAAGTAGTTCCCAAAAAAACATCAAAAAATGCATGCTTACAACTAGTCTCAAACCGTTTCAAACCGCTTCAAACTACTTGCTAGCAAGTAGATCCAAACCGCTTCAAACCGCTTGAGACTGATTGCTAGTTAGTAGATCCAAGCCGCTTCGAGGTCTTTGTAGTCAAAGTGGCATCGTCAACATCGCAAAGCATAAAAAAACAACACATAGTGTGTTTATTTGTTTACCATTTCGGATTGTTTCATATCATAATATCAATTATATCATAATCAAAAGCGACTACCTTAACTTTATCTTTGACTTAACTAACTTAACTTAACTGCTTAAGTTAAGGTTAAGTAACTAACGACTAACTCAGACTTCAAACTCAGACTAAGTAGTGTTTGATTTAAGTAATTAAGCGAGTAATACAGTAGTAGTAATGTAAATATAGTCAGCATATCATAACTCATATCCATATGCCATGCAGATGCATGGCAATGTAATGTAACAAAGTCGACCCGGAAAACAGTTTTCTTTAGTACTGGACTGTGACTGTTACTGTTCACCTAGGTTGCCAGGGTCAAAAGCAACTTTTCAGAACCAATGAATTTGAGGCAAAAGGCATGAATCCAGAGGAGTGCGAGTGCAATGTTGATGTTGCTAGCCGCTTGCCTGGATATAGCCATGCGCTGGACTTGGACAACTTAACTGAGACTAAAAATATCACTTGTCTCAGTCTCTGCTTGACTCAGTTTTTTTTAGAATCAGACTCTGACTCAGACTCTACTGTTGGACTCACAATACTGGAATCTGAAGCCGAGTCATTGTTTATAAGGGCTAAGGGCGGTCTTTGCCAGTTTTTGAGTCTTTGTCATGTCTTTGTCTTTGTCTTTCACAGTATATAATATATAACTGCTTTTTGTCTCTGAGGAAGCATCGGTCGAAGACACATCGGGAAGTTTGGAAGAACAAGCGCATTGACAAGATATGTGAAACTGTGGGACTTCAATTCAGAGACATTTCTGTGTGGAGAAGAAACTTGCCTGCCTCAATCTGAAAAGTAGTAATGCGATC